GTTAGTGATTGTCAACGAGGTTCGGCGTGGACTAGGACGCGAGTAATAGGAAGACTCATGAAATGATGATACACACAAGGTAAGGCAGGCTCAGGCAGGTAAGAAGCAGATTGAATGAGCTTGGAGCTGCGTATTTCACGCACATCAATTAATCAGAAAACGTTTTCAAACACACCTTTTTTCTGAGAGTAGACATATTGCCGAATGTCGATGGGTCTATGAACAAGGTGGGCATAAATTTGAATGGGTCGATTGTGTTAACTATTACCGGAGACAGTTGATTAGCTGGTTAAAGGCATCTAAGTGGGGTTCAGTGGGATCAAGTGGGGAGAATTGAGCTAGCTTTTATCTAATCTGATCAAAATTTTCATCGATAACCAGGGATGAATGGCAGGAAGTAAATTTCCCGACTCACCTACTTATTAAAACTTAGACCGGCTTTTCCTCAAGTAGGCAGCAATTACATGAATGGCGTTACATTACTGCTCGCCACCACCACTTCCATGGGTGAAATCGGAATGTGTGTTTGATATCGAAGCCGGTCTCGATTTCGGGACCGTGATGCTAGTGACCATTATGATAATCTAATCAGATTGACTAAATCAAAACTTTAAGCTTTGCAAGATTTATCTAATCTGATCGACATCTTCATCTTCATCATGATTCATGACCAGGAAGATAAAGTTCCCACTCATCTGATATATGTGTGAGGTGGTTACCATGATATAGTAAGCCATCGAATATAGATAGTATGACTGAGACCACATTGTCATCACCAGAATCCTAAAAGCGGAAATTCGGAAGCTATGTGGAGTGCAAACTTTTCGTGGAACGGATCGTTCACATGGGATGCATTCACACTTGACTATTTTAAAGAGAAGACAAGCGAGTGCGGGTGGGGTACTGTCAGGATCGAGTAAGTAATTACGCCTCGAGCTCCTCTATGTACATAATCAGATTGATCAGATAACAGGGTACCTTGGAGAATTGAAAAAGGGTAATACTTTATTGGGTATCAACTATCATCTCTAACACGATCATCAGATCAATCAGATAAGATTTCAACAACGAGAAGAGGATTTGCCTCTTTCGCATTCGGGGATGAACCCCACTACCTAGATGGCGTTGGCCCAATCTAGCGTCCGCGTAGACGAATTTATTTTCCATCTCGTGACTCTCGTTCTCAAAACTAATGCCAGCACCGGACAAAATATCCGGGATCGGGCATTTGACCATTGTGGGCAGTGCGCTTCAAGCGATAATTTAGCACCACTCTTGCATGCGGCGTCCGTGGAGAAGCCTGTGTAGGTTTTCCGTCTTGTTGGTAGTCATTCCCGGTATCAAAGACCCTTATTTCTCTAAACAATATCTAGCATTAACGTCAATGATTCCATGCAGTGTGATGTCAAAACAAGTTGACGCGCAAGACAGCTTCTAAGTACAGTGTTGAATTGATCTACTGGCAACTCATCAACCAGGGTTAATGGTGCCAGTGTCGAATAATTAGGTACTTCGATGCCTTCGGAAATTTGACGCTAGCAAGATACGTAAAATAGTAAATTTGGGATCAGTCATACCCCACATGGCACATTGTTTAATTCTTCTCAAAAAGTGAGAGTGCTCGTCGAGTGATATATAAAGTTGCGATATGAGAATTTTTATTAATCTCTTTTGTGGCCGACACCACTTTGATCCAAGGGCGATACTTAGCTTCCGACGAGAAGCCAATCGAATGGTTAAAATTGACAGTTACATGAGAATGGAATCACACAGTATATATTACATTACATCTTCCTTGACCAATATGTGACAGCAGACGATGAAAGCTACCCGCGAGTCAATATGAGTTGTGACACCTGAGCATCACAATCCCTGAGCGTCTAGGTTAGACTTACGTCTTAAGAGAGAAACCACTCGGTCCGAATCTCTGCGATGCTCCTAAGCAATATCAGACTCTAACCCACGAAATAGGTATGCTCGAAACAGTGTTCGGAATTAGAATCGGCTGTTGTTTATCATTTTATTAATGGGGTGTCAAGATGGATAGAATGAAGAAGGGATGAGAAAGAAGGGATTGAGGAATTATACTTCATCACCGGCCTATTGCTTGTCGCATCGAGAACGGATCAAATGGCTCACTGGAGCAATCTGAATGGAGCTAATGCTTTAATAGCAAGTTCTTTTGAAATCTGCTTGCAGTGCCTCTCAAGAATCCTGATTGGCAAACTAGACGCGGTATCTGCAGAAATTGAGAAAGGATGTGTGAAAGTAAAATTTTGCGAGGGAGATCTCAAGCCTTTTAATCTTATAAATATTTATGATTACTTACCATCATTGCAGACGACCGAAGCCTTCGCAGTCTTTGATATGCCCGAGAATGCCTCCGTCCGAGAAATCATATCCTCATATAGTTTGATCTTAAGCGGCAAATAACGACTTAAAAACAAATATAGCCCCCACTCCACCAACAATCATTGCAACGAATAGAGCAGCGCCCTCCTTTGTACCTGTGAAGTACATTGTATAACCCACAACCAATTCCAGCATTCTAGCCCTCTCCCTCTTCTTCTTCCAATCAATATCGATATCAAATGGTATTTTGACCCGAGGGTCATTTACATCCTCCTCCTCTTCGGGTTCTGGAATAGGTAACAAAGGAATCGTTACATCTAAAGCTACAGCTCTATGATCCGACGTTGGGAGAAGAGGTAATGCGGAATATTTGTTTGGAATAATTTTGGCCTCTGGATTGCTCTTTTGTACCCAAGATGGCATATCAAGGAACAGAATCCTATCACACCAACTTGGCCACCTATGCTTTGCCCAAGGCCATTTGTTCAATTCTTCATCGGATGTCATGAATGGTCCTTCGGAATCATATTTATATGTAGGCGGGAATGATATTGGAGCTTCGATGAGCCCATGACAAGTTCGACCAGCCAACCTTTCTTGATTGAGTTGATCGTTTTTGAATAGGGCTGAATAATGATTGGAAGAGGAAGTAGAATCGTTCGGTTGTGGGAATGTGTTGATGTGATCATTTGGCGCTGGGGAAAGTAAGGAGGTTCGATAATTTAAGTCGCCGCCGAAAAATAGATGGGATGTTGCTTTGAAGATCGAACCATCTTGTGGTGAAATGGATAACAATGGTCTATCTTCATCACCTCGAGGTAAAGTTGTGGAATAATTTGAGGTTGTCGAAGAAAATACCAATCCGCGGACAATATCTTTCCAGTCTTGGTTTCGTCTTTGCAGTTCTTCTTCCATAGCAGCAAGATGTGCCGCAACGAATGTTAACTCTGTTGAGGTATTTCCACTTCCGTATGTAAATCTTATTCCAACCGCTCCTTTATTTCCCATTGACCAAGCTCCTACTCCGATTTCACCAGCCTCTAGATCTTGTATAAGTGTTGGGTCCTTTGCAAACATCATGATTCCCGTCAAGCCAACATTTCGTGCTGCTATCGAAGTATATGCCGACCCATCGTTTGATAATTTCTTTGAAGCTTTTCCGACCGCATCGTGAAATCGATTGAAGTATGGTACCAGAAAGGATCCACCTATAAGAGAATATGGTATTGGCGCAATTTCTTGCAAGGAGAGAACGAGCAGGTCTGGCAAGTTAGGAGACGAGAGGCCATTAAAGAGTTGAGAGGCAAACGCATCAGTATCGATAAGAGCGAGACCACAATTAAAGGTCAAAAAATACAAACTTAATGCCTTCATCTCTGAGGGACTTGCCATGTTTGTTTGTGTATAGTTCAGATATGAATCAAATCATGGCCATTCATATATTGAGTTCGTGCTTTGCTTTGCTTTGATGTTGATGTTGATGTTGATGTTGATGGATCTCAAGGCAAGGTACGAGTAAGGAAAGCAACGACGTGAATTAAGAATCTTGGCCTTAACTTAAGGTTACCGACGTCACCAGGCCACATGTTTTGGCGCATTCCCGCATTCAACAAGAATAGTCACAGGCCAAAGTCAGGAGTCACCGCAATAAATCATATTATTTATATCTTCAACAATGGAGCGTTTCCCTTAGTTGGGTACTATGTCTTTGAGGAGTAAATGTAGATGGAAATTGAGAGAGAGAGATTATCAAGTGGTAATTTCACGAATAACCTACATGGGGGAATGAGATAGAGCTTATCAACCCCGCATCTCCTCAAACGCAAATCACTTGTCAATTTGCCGAATTGCGACACAAAGGAGCAAGTTGAAGACAACTAGAAATCAAGTCATATCCAGCTATATACTACATAGAAGACTTGTCTCATGAGATCTTCCAGTCCTCTCGTAATTCCACGCCTCGATGTTGATTAAGATCGAACTGGTGGGGCCCAATGATAGGTCTGAGACATCTACACTTTGGAGCGTGATCTTGAAGCCAAGAACTCCCTTAGCAAGGATCAAAATTCTTGAGTGTATCATTATGAAGATGGAAATTGTATTGTAAATGGGAGGTGTGAAGTTTCCTACGTTCATAGTTGAGAGTCTGAACACACCACAGTATCAAGCTCGTTGGTTGACTCAAACTATAGGCAGTCAGTCTTCAATAGTCTGGCTACGTTTCGACAAGACGGCAGTCAGTCTTGCAATAATGTGTTGATCTTATGTTCTGAGTTGGAATGTATCGTTCGGAAAGACAAATCGCTCTGGGTGGTGAACATCCTGAGTCTTTGAACCTTTGCTAGCTTCCCAATTCCGTGTCCGAATCAGGGTTGGCGGAGGAAATTCCCGGCTACAAATTTATTGATTACAGTATCAATAGTTGCAGATACCACAAAGAGATTCGACTGTAGAAGGTGAGGAGTGAAGCCATGAAGAGAAAGTATTTGCTATTGAGAGCAAGTGAAGCCAGCCATTCATGTATTATTCACATTCATCTTGTCACCGAGAACTTAGACAATGCATCTTCAATTGCGAGTAATATAAAAAACCCAAACGAAAGCACCATAAGCTTGATAAGCTTTTGGTTTCTCTAAAAGTATAGTGGGATGTTTTGGCAGGGGTACATGCAAGTAAGATGTCGGCTTACGATTAAAGATTGGATCATCTATACGAGTATGTATACTATTATTTGATAAAGATAACCAACAGTTGGAAATTGATATCTATCTATAAAGGCATCGCAAGTACGCGCAGAACTACCCATTTTTTCCCCTCTAAATGTAGGAAATCTTTCTTATTAAACAGATTGCCAACACGTCATGACTTCAACTTCAGAGTATCTAGAGCATGGTCTCTCCACTCACATGGCCAACAAACTTCCCAAATTGGCGCCGTTGGGATTTCTATCATAGATTGCACCACCAGATATAATACGTCTTGAGCAAGCCGAGAATCGTTTACTAAGACCTCAACTGCTGAGCATATGTAAAGATGCTTTGAATGAAAACCTAAGTGAAGATGTACAGAATTTTCTACAGACTCTTTTGTCAACACTCATACTGACATATCCTAGAGTTTCCTATACCCTACAGGTCTTGGGGGCGAAGCAGCAATGCGAAAAGGATTCGCTTCATTCTTCAATACATATTTCAACCCTTCATTAAAGGTAGAAGAAGATCATATCTCGACGGGCAGTGGTTGCGCAAGTGTTCTTGATTCACTGATGTACTCTATTTGTGATGAGGGAGACATTGTATTGGCGTTCGCTCCAGTTGCCCGTTAGTGTCCGCGTTCCAGATGGCCATAAATCTACTTTCTCGATTTGAGTCATTGACTGTCTCGTACATTTAACCCTCGAGAAATCATCCGACTGATCTTAAAATTCTTCAATACAGGAACTTTTGATATTTTCACCAGACTCCATGCACCCGCCACCATTCTCACCATACCTTCACCGAACTTCCGCAGCATAGTGGATTCCGACTCCGTCGATCGTCTAATCGCCACCTATAATGCATGTTCTACTCAGTCCCGTATTAAAGCCCTTTTGATGTGTAACCCTCACAACCCTGGAGATGACACTTATTCCCCAGAGACTCTTCGCAGACTGATGGATTTCTGTCACGAAAAACAAATTCATTATATATCTGATGAAATTGGTGCTCTCTCGGCATTTAATACAGATCCCGAGAAACCCTTCACTTCTGCTTTAAGCTTGGTAGAGGAAGGAGCAGGAATTGACAGGAGTAGAGTCCATGTTATGTGGAGTCCAAGTAAAGATTTCGGTTGTGCTGGTATGAGAGTGGTGAGTCTGATACTTTCTACCCTTATAGTGTAATAATGAGATTGAGACAACTGGCTTACGGTGATCAGGGATGTATCGTATCACAAGCGAATAAGCCTTTACTTTATGGAATATCATATTCGAATGTCTGGCAAGTTTCATCGCCCAGCAGCTTGTGTATAACCGCAATTCTTACGTCGCCGCAACTTCCAGCTCTTGTAGAAGCTAATAAGGAAGGATTAAGAGTTTCGTATGACTTATTGACATCTACTTTGAAAGATTGGAATATAGATTACGTTTCTGTAAAAGCAGGAATTATAATATTTGTTAGAATAGCAGCAGATGCAAAGGTAAATGGATGTCCATATCATTTTCCCTTCTCATAAGGAGTCACGTACAGAAGCAGACCTTTTCCACGCCTTCTTTCACGGGGGTTGAATTTGGATTTACTTAAATGTTTTCATCAGATAAGTTAACTAACACACCAAACTTCACAGAATGCGCAGGATGAGATGGCAGTCTTGGTAAAGTTGAGGGATGAAGGGGTTTTGATGTCTCCAGGAGGGGGGTATTTAGGCTCTTACGGCGAATTTGGATGGGCGAGATTGACATTCGCTGTGAAGCGGGAAGTTATGGTAGAGGCACTTGACAGGATGAAGAAAGTTCTGAGGCCAATTTCAATGATTTGATCGTCCAAGAAAAGAATAAACTTCAACTTCTTGGCGACCGAAAGGATGGTCATGTAAATTCATAGAGGCATAGGTAGCGTTATTGATTCCACAAAGCTCTGTAGTACACGGATGAAAACTCAAATGTCAAACACTACAAGCCCAGGGACTTCCGACATCTCAAAATGCTCTTTGAACCTCCCGTATACGTCACGGATGTTCCCTCCATTGACGTGCCCAAACGCCTTTCCAGTAAAGATCCACATGCCAACAGCCATTGAAGGATTTTCTTCCAACTCCTTATAGCTCTCCTCTTCTCTCAGAAAGCCATGCATAGGGATATTCATACCGAGATTATTCTTGTAAAACTCAAGCGATTCCTCCCACTGAGCCAGCTCAATTTCTCTATGACGGTCAACCATCTGACGCACCCCAGACTTTATTGACACATGTTGCTCAACATCTTCTCCCCATTCCTGAAGAGGTAATTGTGTTGACACGCAGACATAAAAATCGAAAGCGGATCTATGCCGTACACCCAGAATTCCCTCCAGAATGCACCAGCTATGATAGAATCGACGTGGATCCCGCCAGAAAGCTAGTTGTTTCAAATCTGGTTGAATTGATCTCGGATCGCTCTCCAACCACTCAAAGTTGATACTGGATCTACCCATTTGTTTCATGGAAGGCATGATCGGACAAGTCTCTGATAAGTGAGGTCTTCCCATCCGCGGTCCTATATTGTCGTAGATCCTTGTGTCAGATAGTAATTTTTCAACACACCACAATGACCGAAGCTTGGTACTGAGTATATCAACGAGGGATGCGATGGCTATAGGGTGATGAGAAATATGTGAAGTTCCATAACCCATACCGCGATTACGCCGTTCTCGACTCGCATCTCTCAGAAAGGACAGTGTTTCATTGTAAAAGGGCACTTCATTACTTGGTTGCATCCCTATCTTTGTTTCATCATGAAATGAGTTTAGAGACGTGTTGGAGTCAAAATCAACCATCTCAGTATGTCCGGAGAGTATATTAGAGGGATGTGGATTATCGAATAAACTATCTCCTGAACCTTCCGCTAGAGCCAGATGCATCAGGCCCTCATCTTTTGGATCATAAGCTCTGATATCATGAAGAATATCAGCGAGCATTTGAGGAGCTTTATCCCAATCCTGCAAGAACAACACATCATACTCAGGGTTGATTCGAATATGACCTCGAGCAAGAGGTAGGCAAATACGGTAGAATTCTAGTGCTACTGATCTTGCTTCTATCGTGGTATAAAACAGCTGGTTGGTTGTATCTAAGATGGGCTTATTTATAGAAAGGTGGTAATCACCACCGCTGATAATCTTGCCCAGGTCATTATGATTAGAATAAAAGTGAGATTGATCATGGTGGCTTGCATTGTCTTGACCAGCCGTCTTGCTTACACAAATCGGGATGAAGCGGTGTTGATGAAGAGATAAAGTCCATATATAGAGGCGTATCTCCTTAGGAAAATCAGAGAAGAGATGAAACCTTGAAGACTGATTCTGCTTGGATGGACCTAAAGGATCATCATTAAAAAGTGCAACCATTCTCGTATGTTATGAGGCACATGCACTGTTCTAGCCACGGATATGCATACAATGAAGTACACACAGGAACGGAGTGGTGGCTGGAAAATATCTAGTCCATGTCATTGATAAAATATCATTCGGAACAGTATCTACGACGCAGATATTGTTCTGCGGTGCAACATTCTAATGTTGGTGAAGTAATACTAAGCTTGCTGACCAACAGTTGGGCCCCACAACCTGTCAGCCGATCATCTTTGAGCAGTAAAATCATCCAAGCACGCCTTATGAGAACGAGCCTTGTGCAAATTAATAAGTACCGGGTTACTAGTCGAAGATTGAAGCTGAATCATAATTATGTATATCACTTAGTGCGGCAGTTTGGTACCGTAGGGGGCAATGTGACATTAACAGCCAAGCAGTAAAATCTTGTTTCATTATGCAGAGCCAAACCAACTTTCATTCTCTCTCTAAGATCGTTTAAAGCAAGCAGAATAGTTATGAAAAGAACAAAGAATATAATGTCTTGAGAGAACACTTGATTGCAAAAAGAAACAAGGTGCAGTGAAAATTCGGCTCTTTTCAATGGGAAAGAGCTCCCAAACGTCAGTAACAATATCTCGAAAAATAATTAGACCTGCGACTCGGAAGATTGCTCCACGTCTTGTCGTACATGAATGTTTTGAGGGTGAAGCACTATATCTTCTGATTCATTAGCACTAGAGGTTGTCTTCATTATGTCTGCATCTGTAGGTGGAGCTGTTAAGCCAGATATGAGGCTGAAGTCGATATGAAAATATCGCTTTTTGTTCTTCTTATTCCCCTCAACCGAGTACCTTTCAGACGGATTTGGAGGAGTCGGTTGCACGTGGTTGTTGCGGGCGAATAAAGATCGAAAAGAAGCAAGACATGCAATTATGATAGCTATGCTTGAAGTCAACGATAGGAACAAAATATTAACCCGAGGTATGAGACCAAACCTACCAACAGTCTGCTCTACGAGACTCCACGTATAAAGCCAGCTTTCCTCAAATTGATGCGAGTACGAGCTTACAGCAGACTGGCGAACGATGGAAAAGATTATCGTTATGATGACGAGCGAGAAAATACCAGCCAATGCTAGCTTTCGCTTTCGGCTCAAGCGTACAGTCCACAGCATACTGATAGGAATAGCCAAAACTTTGATTGTTAGTTTTCCCCGGTGAAATGAATGTGGGAACATTGACTTACTCATTGCGTCTGTCAAGACGTCCAGTCCGCATCCAAAACCCAATGCAAAGCGTTGGATTCTGATTGCAAATCGAGATAGACATGTGGCTGAAATTCTTTCAAAACTTGGAACCAAACATGAATAGGGAATTGTCCCAATGCATATCATCCAAGATGCAGACACAACTATGGCTACAATACGTCGTGGCCAGACATAGGAGTCCACGTTCTCCAAAAGTCGCCCGAAAAATAGTAGGAAAGATATCTTGATAAGCCATAATGTACAGTAGTATAGGACATATACGACCGCAGAGCCTCGAAGGAATCTCTCGGCATGCTTTTCAAATCCTTCCGGTGGAGGGAGAAGGACTCCGTTCAAAACCCCAAGCATCTCATACATGTCGCGACTAATCTTCTGACAAATAATTGCACAGCAAAGAAGGAGTAGCCAGGCCATAATGACACAGAAATCATCGGGTGAAAGACGTCCGAAGGTTCGAATTCTAACAAAGATTCTGAACGTTACAAAAAGTAACGAAATTGCAGTACATCCCCAAGTTACACCCTGTTATGAAAGTCAATGTTTAAGAATAGCGCGGAAAATAGGACATGGAACAGGCTTACTATGAAAGTTTCATAGTTGACTATTGGATTCGGCGTTAAATTGTTCATTTTGAACTACTCGAGAAATTCCAAGCCGTCAATATCAGTAGAGTCTTTCGATAGCGTCGAGAATTATGTATTAAGACTGAAGTCATGAACAACAGATTTGATGACAACAAGTAAACAAGGGCTAGAAGGGCGTAAGAAGAGTATTGATAGATGAAGGAAACTGAAGACGAACCTCCTATTTTAAGTCTGAGTATTGGGGTGGCCTGCCCATGAGTCTGTGCCTCATCAATTGGGAACATCCAAAATTCTCCGCCCCTCAATGCTCCGCAGACCTTGAAATACCTCAGTTCATAATCCCCTGGGAGCGTATTGCCGACCAGATCGAGACTTCCTATTTGACACTATTATACGGCACTTACCATTCGAAAATAGTAACAACCTTCTTGCATTGTGAAATGAAATTGAATGTCACCGCAATACAGTTGATATCCATTGCTTGAAGAGGCAGAGGAAGTACATCATCAGAGCCATAGTTTGGTAAGGAGAATAGCCGGCGGGTTGTTATTGATCGTATCGGGTGTACTGCGCCATAAAATTCTGCATTGACAGCAGAAACAGATCATTTGATTGCGTTGATAATGATTTGTGCATAGCATGTATAAATTTATCAACGTCGAGATGAATATGTAGTCATGGTCGGCCTAGCGAATATACTGTCAGAACTGGAAAATCGTTATATGCAAGCCACCTGGCCAAGCACATACCCGCATATATCCACGAAATGACCATTTGATCAACTCAGTCTTTTCATCCCTTTGGAGTACAGCCTAATAAAGTGTTTGGGGGGTATGGATAGCAAGAATTATCTTCAAGGCAAAGCTCGGCGAATTCCAAAATTGGCGTCTGCCGAAGTTGGTTGCATTTATTGTCAAAATAATGACAAATTACATGATGAGAATATTTAAAAAGGATAATGTATTCAGTGTAACGCCAATAACCGTTGTAAGGTTCCTTTCACTATATTCCTGGAAGCACAAACAAACTTGATAATGCTTTCCACTTACCACGAAACACCTGCGCCGCTCGCGATTTTAGTGTTGGGTCGAAGAGTGTTGTATCACAACATGTAACAGTACAAAGGGCATCTCTTAGCACGGGATGGATTAACAACCGAGAATAGAACTGCGCTATGTTCTTAAAATATCCATGTGTGTATTTGTGAGTTTATCCACTTGGTACCATGAGAGTGGCTCAGGAAACTCTGCATCAACAAAAATGCTCGGTGATTGCTTACTTTAAAATATCAGGCTCTGAAGGAAAAAAATACGAGTTCTTATTTCTCAATGAGGTCATTTGAAGTTGGGTCAAAGTTTCGTGTTCAGACTCGATGCTTGCTGTGACTACTCCTGCATTTGTGACATTATGCTGAGGTTTTACAGCGAACATGCAGAGCTCCTCTTTGAAAAGGGTTGCTGAATGGAAGAGTGAACTTGGATTTATAATTCGAGATCGCAGGTAATCCTGAGAAGATGATAGCAAATCTTATTCAAGGTTGACTTCACTAGAGGTATCATTCTGTATGGCTGATGAGCTAGTACAAATGTCAAGTCAAGAAAATCAGAAGACAACGAAGAACTCTAGGATATTTCATCTGCCTACTTCTTTATCGCTTCGGACTCTGAACTCTCAATGTTGCCCATGAAGAATATCGATAACAAGAGGTGCAAATAGCTGCATACCGGCGTGCCGGACTCAGAGTCCTGAACGAAAAATAAGACCGCTTCTAGACACTGTAACGAGCCCGCGAACAAGTCGAACATACAAATATGAGAGTGAACAGGTGTCCCTGAATTAACGGTCAGTAACTTTAATTGCAACCATATGTCAATGCAAGAACAAGACCCAGAGCTCCCCAGAAGCTGAAGTAAAGCACAAAAATCTAAGACCAAAAAATAGGATATTTCATTTGGCATCTACTCGAGTAGCATGATGGCGAGAGAAAGGAAGAAGTATTCATGCTTTGAATGTAGTCTTTTCAGTCGAAAGCTCTGTTGCAAGGCTATTAGAGAGTGATTGAGATAAGGAGAATTCTACGATATGGGGTAGAATGTGCACGAAACAAGATACAAATCGATAGTTGTAGTGACTGATGGGTTTGAAGCTGTCAGGATTGATCGTGGTCACATATTCGAATGAAGAGAACGAGATGCCCTGACTTCCAAAATGACCACTAGTCACACCGCCTGGCAGAATTATCCACAACTCCTTACCTGGAGATGATTTAGATTTTCAATCCTGGTGATCCAGTCACTCGACTGTCTTGATTGTGTTCCTCATCAAGAGGGATTTGGATCTATGTGTTGCATTCGTCAGCAATACAAGTTTCTTGCGGATGACTAAAGATTTCCTGACATATTCACAGAGACATAAAAAGCATTCAAAGTTTATCACCTATGTGGTAACTTGATGTAAACCGCCGAATGACATATCATCAGATTGAAGACTACATACAGGCACGAAAACCCCGACTTCTTATATTGAGCGTCATGAATCTGGCTATACCATAATATCTCCAATCTTTAACCCCAAAACACCAACTTCGTCTTCTCACCTTCGTTCAGTGGCGGAATAACTCCAAGGAAGCTTGACATCGCCAAACGGCGCGTTCCTATCTCGGAATAGACAGGATGTACTTGGTGCATATTGCGAGAGTTGAAGAGGTATAGATCACCAATATGAGGTTGGAAGTCTACCTTTTGACGTCCCTCAACAAGCTCCGGAAAATATCCATAACTGTCGGGGTCACGAAATTTCAATGCTTCGGGAGACCACTGCAAATCGTGAACAGTAGTACCACCACTGTTGATGGGTGGTGGGGTTATGCAAAGATTGGCCGCAAGTTGACGGGTCAATCGGCTAATCGCCCATGATTCCGTCCGAGTATCATAAGGTGCCCAATCGCAGTGAACTGGTGTTCCGTTGTTGATTACTCGAAAGATACCAGCGAAGTAAAATTGTGTCCCGTCATCTACTACCTCCGTGGCTATCATAACCTCCCAGTCTTCAGGTGCAATTGATTTAATAAATTCAAAGACCTTAGCGAACGCATTTACGCCAATTTCCGCTTCCAACTTTCCATGCGGGTCGCCCAGGTCGCGTACAGCCTGGAAGTATTCCTGCTTCTCTACATATTTGTTTAGCTAATGTCTACATGCCGTGGCATAAGGAAGGCTATGGAGAGTTTGATTTTGACAGCACGTACCGTTTCCAGACCTATTTTTCAAGTCATCCTCACTTTGTGCTTGAAACTCGAACTGAGCAACGCCTACTTTTGCCAATTTCGGGCCAGTAGCATGGAGATATGGTGTAAGTCTTGGCTCCAATGTCTTTGTGAGCTTAGAACAGTCCGCTTTGGAAAGGAACTCAGGCTCGTTGAGGATAGGAGTTCGACCTTCCAGGAGATCTAGCAAGGATGCCTTTGTAGCACGAACCGGTTTGGTGGTATTCCATTTCGATTCAATGACTGGATTTGCTTTCAAACCGTGATGAAGATCGGGTGTGATGTCACTGGCTGCAATCATGATTTCTGATTACAACCGGAATGTTAGGAGAACAAATTTGTGTTTTGGAAATCGGCTAACGAGAGAAAAGCTTTACAAATATCATCCTCAATGGAGGCTTGAGGGCATATATATATATTGATTTAAACCCCCCTACAAAGTTCAAAAGCAGCTTCTCATATGAGCTCCCAGCTACAGAATTGGCAACGGTATCTCGTGAACCCAAGCTCATTCTACTGCAACTTTTAATTTAGGATATGCTGCTGGCCAACGGGAATATAACCGCTCAAGAGATTTCTTCAGCAGCGATACCATACACAATCACCAGCTCAACTATTAATATTATGCAGGAATATCTGTTTCAGTGATGGAATTATGTGTACCACCATTTACAAGAATTCCTTGACATTGATCTTATGTATGAGCTTACATTCTCGTACTGACATCATGCATCCTGTCCCAAGATTGGCTGTCATAACAGAAAGAACCAACCGGATATCTGCAGCACTAATGCCGTGCATACACGGATGATTTCCTAGGTTGCAAACTGAAGGATCTGAATCATCCAATGGTCATGTTATGATAGGTTACACGGCATTGCTAATCGTCCCATCAGCAGAATCATATCAGTTCTCATCAATCTCCGAATATTAGTCGACGGATCAAACCGGAGACTTTAAATGAAACGAGCTCCAACCGCGTTTACACCATTGACAAGAAAAAATGGCTCGTACTAGCTGGAAATGCATGTGGCGTTTGTGAGACATTCTGAATCTTGTTGCCGACATGCAAACAATCGAAAAATAACACACTTAATTGGACGAAATCGCGAAACAGCATATTGCATATATCAGCCACGATTATGTGGGATTTCTCAACATTCTTGTGAAAGTACAGAATTCCGAGAATATAAAAATATGGCTTGAGTATTTCTTAGCATCCATAGGCGAGCAATCGGAATCAAGCTGCCCTTTGTAAGCACAGCGATTTTATGCATACGCCTCTGTGAACCTTGGAATCTAGCTAGAAATTCCCGAGATAACAAAATGTATCACATACTATTTTACAGTACTGGTGAGTACCGGAGAGTAGAAAGAGAGATAATTACATCAGGATCCTGGACCAATACACCATCAATATGATACTGTGAGTTTAGCTATACGGATCCAAATTATCATGAGCCGCTGCACAAACTCACTTGATACTGACTGGAACTGGTTGAATAGATATCATCAGAATTGCCGGAATGTTGAATACCAATCATATTTACTGAACACTGAGAAGCTCATGACAGATGTTATCAATGTCACTCAAAACTCCTCAAGGCAACAACCTTATTAGTTTCAAGAATACACCAACTTTTCCCTTCTTCCAGAGCTTCTACTACCTTCCCACCCATTCCAAAAGCTATCGTCGTGTTTTTGTTTTGAAGACAGCAAGTGAGTTGTAGTTGCATCTGCCAGATCATAGTATCGGTATCTAGGTAGTCAACAGAATCTGTGGCTTACCTGACCTGCTGAAGGTAACCTATTCGGGTTTTCAACTGCATAAAATCATACCAGACACCGCAGATCCTAAGAAATACTATTTAATTGCCGATAAAGCATTATTCACTCACGATGTGACGAATGCACGCGTTGGTTTGGATAGGTGTTGACTGTGGCGTCCCTACACCACCTCTGATGGGCTAATTGACTCCCGAGAGCTCGTCGCACCGACAGGTCTGTATACCTACTAGCTGAAGGGTGGAGATATTGTTGGTAAAGGAAATCCAAAGCTTTACTGTAGTCTTTCAAGTTAGGTGGATGAATACACATGGCCCACGTAAGTGTTATGTAACTTGTGTTACGGCTTGTGTACCATAAACACCAAATACTTGTCTGGTATATTGGTTAGACGTTGCAAATAGAACTTGGGTCTTTGGTTGAAACCACCATAACATTTAGGTGATAGCGAGACACTGCTCATATAAAGGTTACTGGACATCTCAAGATATACCCACTCCTGATACATTGCTGCTCCCCGACGAAAGACTCGTTGGCTTCTTTGCTTTTAATCTTGGTTAAGAAATCACCATTTTCCAGAAATTGAAGAGCTCCGTGTGAAATCTTACTGTTTGTTTGTTGCGCGGGAACATGCCTCTGCAGGTTCTCATAACATTTAAGATCTACATAATAACGATATGGCGGAGTTGAATGGACTTACGGAGCAATGCAATGAACCGTAGGGAGTTCTGATGAAAGCATAGGTTTGAGCCATAATCGCCAACAAATTTGAAACGATGCATAGTCGAGAGTGGCATCTTCCGCAATCTCAACTTCATAAATAATCTGTTTTGGAATTCACTTTTTATTTGACCAGATTGGTTTATTACATTATCGCAAGATTTCTCCACATCATCTTCAGCGACCATGCAACTCGAAAACTTGTCACTTGTACAACTATTGCAAAAGGTAACATATGAAAGTTTCTTTCCACGCAAATGTGCTAAACGTATATAGCAAGGAAAAATGGAGAAGATCAAGCGCACGAGGAGAAACCGACAGCATATAGTGGGTGGAGGAACAAGACGACTCTTCAACAAAAAACCAAGAAGAGACGTCAACTATCCAAGAAAGATGGATGACTGGGACCGTAGGTCTTCCTGTTTCTGTAAACGTCGACAAAATAGTACCAACTAACCAATGAATAGTTTTCGCTCTGCGTCCCAAGAAGGACTTGATTATTCCAAAATCATCCTTCGCACGTTTGGCAAAAGAAATCACGGAAGTTATCAAACCTGGAGAAAACTACGAGATTGATCAGCTTGCGTTGGATTCTTTGCAAGAATGTGCCGAAGCTCATATTGTTCAGGAATTCGAAAGTGAGTCTCTACTTTCTCTTTGATGATTTCTTTACTAACATGATAGTGGCCACTGTATTCACTGCTCGTGCGAGTAGGGCGACGATTCAATCGAAAGATATGAAGGATGCAAAGTTCATCAGGGACTTACGGGATGGATATGCAGTTCGATTGGAGACGGAGAAGATGCACAAAATGGAGGATACCAAGCAGTCAGACTGATGACGGATTCTTGGAGAAATCTTACGGACTTCGATATTTCTTGATGCACGACGCAAAAGAGATAGTTCTATTGTCGTGGAAAACAGAAAGTTACGTAGTTAGTTACAGGTAGTATGAATCTGTTTACCTCGATAGATGAAGGTGCTCTGTTCTCTTTAGACCTCTCGTCCTCATGCAGAATGGGCTGAAGAATTGACAATTACAAGTGTACTCTTGCTTTCTACAATAAAACCAGTGACTGAACTTATTACTTGGATAACTTCTCGGGCAATTTTCTCACAGCCACGTGAGATTCGTCTTGTTCCCTTTCTTTCTTTGGGCGTTTCTTGATTGGAACCTCGAGTTCGATGACTTAAATTTCCATCTATTTACCACAGTATCAAGCTCTAGCCAATAGGCAAACAAGAAATCCACCAACATCATATCGACCAACAGTTGGTGTATTTCGGCGTACCTCATGATCTTGACCGAGAGAACGACCATTTAGATAACAACCTTCTTCCATGATGCCTTCGTATTCGTTGGTATTCACTTCAATCTATGAGTACAATGTTATTGCAACTAATAACCACGCTTTTACTCCTCCTACCTCTAATATGGGGTGGACGCAACATCTACAAATTGTACCAGAACTATATCTTAGCAAAAAAGATCGGTGTACCAATCATTGTGCTTCCGCCGAGTCCCCAAAATCCAATATGGATGCTACTTGCAGATATTATTATGCCTCTCTTCCAGAAACTCAGTATTACTCGTTCGTGGCCATTAATCAGATTTGGTAGAAGAGCATGGGAATTCAAGGATAAAGCACAGATTTATTTGAAAATTGGGGACATCTTTATCATGGTTACGCCGGATAAAATATTCTGTATATTTGTGATGCTAATACTTTGAGCGAATTACTGCTGAGAAGAAATGAATTTAAGAGGCCGAGGGAGGTTCTTGGTGTGTTATCTACTAGTCTTGAAAAAAAAAGTGTTACTTGAGCTCTTTCTAACTTGCACTAGAGATGTTGAATGTGTTTGGACGAAATATCTCCACGGTTAGTAGGATCATATACCAGCTCGATGAAAGTCTACCTCTGATAATCTACTTACTATAAATTATAGGTATCAGATGAAGACTGGCCTCGACACAAAAAAGTCACAGGTCCACCTTTCAGCAATGAGCAAACCAACAACCTAGTATGGCAAGAAGCGCTTCGACAAACTCAAGAAATGATGCATTATTGGATTGACCAGGGGAAGTTGGCCCTACGAACTACCGCCGAGGATACCAAAACTTTTTCACTAAACATCCTCAAAAGTGCTGGGCTTGGTAAATCATATCCTTTCAAACCTTCATCAAACATAGATAATGATCCAAGTCATACAATGAGTTACAAAGAATCATTAAGCTTGATCGTCGGAAACGCGATTCCAATCCTGATAATTGGACCCAACTTTCTCTTAAAATGGAAATGGTATCTTCCCAAATCATTGCAGAAGATCGCTCAAGCTACCGCCGAATTCCAGGCATATATGAAAGATATGGTACAAGAAGAGCGAGAATTAATCGCCAAAGGCAAACAGTCTAAGTCTAATTTGATGACATCTCTAATCCGAGCCTCGCAATACAGCTCCGAGTTTAAGACTGACGATATGGGTTATCGGAATCCGAGTTCTTCGGAAACATGTTTGTGTTTAATTTTGCAGGTCATGATACGATATCCCATACACTTTGCTATGCTCTGAATCTCCTTGCTGCCCATCCTACTGTGCAGGATTGGATTTCTGAAGAAGTGAATGCGGTATTCTTGGATTCGGATGCTTCCACTTGGGATTATGCAGACTCTTTTCCTAAACTGAAACGTTGTATGGCCGTCATGGTTTGTGAATACTCTATCGATGTTGTGTTTATATATTAACAGTATTACGCAGCTAGAGACACTCCGTCTTTACCACCCTTTTGTTACATTTACGAAATCAACAGGAAATTTTCCAAGAACCGTCACATATGATTCTAAAGAACTCAATCTACCACCAAACACAATGATCTTGCCTAACCTCTTGGGTATACAAGCCCATCCCCGCTACTGGGGACCAGGTCGACTCCTCTGGCCTCCATCTCGTTGGATCATCTCATCCTCAAACCAAAATGGTGAATTGACAGAAGAACTTTGGACACCGCCTAAGGGTTCATACATGCCGTGGTCCGAAGGGCCTCGAGGATGTCCGGGTAAGAAATTTGGCCAGGTAGAATTTGTGGCCGCGATGGCGGGACTATTTCATAGGTATGGGGTAGAGATTGTGAAAGAAGGCGGGGAGAATCAGGAAGAAGCTGAGAAGAGAGTTAAGGCGTTTGTGGATGATAGTGCTATGGTACTTTTGCTACAGATGATGAATCCTGAGAAGGCTGGTTTGAGATGGGTTAAAAAGGGATGATTGCATGAATGATAAGATTATATATGCTTTGGAACAAAAAAAAAAAAATAAGCCACCACCAAAACGCCATCTAAATCTAGAATATAAAACCTGGTATCACATAAAATCTTCATCCCTCACTTCCATTCCCATCTCCAATGAACATATTCCATCCTCCGCACCCACTCAATCCCCATGTACCTTCCCATCCTTCGCCTGTCCCCCTTTCCCCTCCTCCTCTTTCTCTTTCTTTCCAGGCTTCGCAAACACCGCTCCAAAAAGACTCAAAATACTAGCCGATCTCAAAATCATCGTATACATCAACGTCATTCCCACCACCACAATTTCCTCTTTAAACGCTTCATTCCCTATCACCTCCTCGCCCATAAATTCAATCCGTCCCACGTTCGTAAAACTCATCGTATTCGCCGAGAACTTCGCAACCGGCATGGAAGATGCATCCAGACAGATGAAATCCCAATTCTTCCAGCCCGTGGATGACGTCCACAGCATTTGAACCGGTTCTTTACTCGAGGGGGAAAAGGTACGGGATAGATGCGAATACTCTGTCTTGAAACGTTTCATGGCTTTCACTTTTATAGGTTGGTCGCGCACCGAGCAGTCGGAGTCGATGGAGAAGGAGTGCAGAGTTCCGGTGCCGAAGACGGATTTGTCGAGGGCGGATTTGAAGACGAGATTGGGAGATAGGCTTTTGTAGGAGACGGTGTAGAGGGGTTGAGGTGGAGAGGAGGGGGAGGAGGAGTCTTGGGTTGTGATGAGCGATTTCCATTTTTTCCAGGAGAAATCGACGGAGAGGGCTTGGTGGGGGGAAGAGCATGAGGTAGTGGAGGTAGTGGCAGTAGTGGCAGTAGTGGTTTGAAGAGGTATAGAAGGGCCTGCAGCTGCTGTTGCCATATTTGCGACGGTGTAGATTTTGTTTCTTGCGCGTGGATTGAAAACGTTGATGTATTTGCTTATTCTCATATTCTTTAAATTAATTAACTGTAGATCCTTCATTCTTATATACCCAAGCTATCTCTCACAACATCCGTGACGTCGACCTCCACAAAGAGCTGATAAGGCTATTTCCATCCCACCTATCAAAAATATAGTTTCACGCCTACCACCAATTTCGGAATAATATCGCGCTTGTCTCCCCATACATCTGACACTCTACAGAGTACGAAGCATGCTTTAATCATGTCAAATCCACATAAGCTTACTTCCACTCCTCCCCATGATTCAGCTTGCCATGACCGTAAATGATCGACATGCCAGATTATGTCATCCCACTTCCCAAATAGGCGCTACGTGCCGCTCCCATCTTGGCGAGTTTAGGCCCCCAACTGTAAGCCCCGCTAAGCCCCTTCGCTTCTCCATTCTCCCCGTTTATTCTGACAATCATTGATTTTTACAGATTTATATATCGCGTTGCGTTTTCATTTGCCCACATTATCCACATATACCATATTTCCTTTTAGGGTTGCATGTAGCGCTTTCATATTTGACTTATTCTTGTGCAATCGCAATGCCCGGTGTACCATCTGGACGTGGATGCGAAGCGTGTCGCAAACAGAAGAAGAAGGTTCGATTGCTTAATAGTTCTTGTGTTAGACCAATTATGAGTATATCTAATAGGAAATAGTGCGATCAAGTCCAGCCCTCATGTTCACGATGTATGCGACTATCAATTCCATGCGTAGGCAGTGGAATTAGGCGCTACAAATTCATATCTGGCTCCATCGACTCCACCGTAACAACTAGCTCCACAACCACGAATCACAACAGTGCACTCCGCACTCCTCGTAAACAAATATTCCGAATGCCCGGTAACAAATCTATTTCCGTGGCAGGATCATTCATATCCGTTCTAGAAGTGAAAGATATTCGCTACGATATTGGTGTCTATGGAGCATTTCTCACAGAGATCCCTAAGCGTCTGGGAAGTAGCGCCGCGCTAGATGCTTCGGTTAATGCTATTTCGACGTCATATACATCGATATATTCACGAACGAAACCAGTGGAGGCGCTAGAGAGTTATGGGAGGGGATTGAAGGCGCTGAGGGTTGCTTTAAATGATCCGAAAGAGGCTACTCAAGCGAATACTATTTGTGCGTTTTATTTGATGATGATTTGTCAGGTGAGTTGTTCTTGGTATTGATGAAGCGAATGATGATGCTTATTTAGGTTAGACTTGGATGGCTCACGGTGATGATAATGCTAATCATGGGGAAATATTAATATATTTGTTGAATGCAGCTGCAGCGCAAAATTGGCAAGGCACCTTTGAAGCAGAACTCTTGGTAACCTTGTGTGTTCCTCTGGTATGTGGAATCTAATTCCAAGAAAAATCGCGTGAATACCTTGACTAATGACTTATTACAGATTATGGAAGGCATCAGGAACCCCAAGGTTAAGTGGACCCCGGTGATAGGAAAACTAACCGAAGCTCGAGATAACGCCGTCGGGATTGAAAGCCTCAAACTCCAAACCCTGGCCAAAGTCCCAGAATACTTAAGGTATCCGGGGGAGTACCTTCCTGAAATTAAATCCACATACATTCAAATGAAAATTGACCTCTCAACCATGCGGAATTCCCTGGACAAACTCCATCAAGCCCCACATTCTAGAACACTACATTCACGCTTCCAAGCCGCGTATAGTCTGATACTTTCATTTGCCAACTTGTTGAACAGTTTACTTCGTGCTTCATCGGAAGATCATGAATATTTGATTCCGGAATCGGTATGTTATGTCGAGGAAACCATTGTGCTTGCCGAAGAGGCACTTGAGTATCGTCCGTTGGGATCGAGTGCCATGCCAATGGTTCTTACAACTGCTTGGGTAGCGACGAATGATGTATCTCGGAGAATTAGGATAGAGAAGCTTTTGATAGAATACCAATCTGATTTCGTTATTATGAATTGGATGGAAGTCGCTTTGTGGCTGGAGGAAAGGTTGAGAGGTATCCAGCTCTCATTGCAGGGTTTTGGTGCTGCAGCACCGCCGATGGTCAGTTGAATCTTGGAGTGTTTGAGTTGTGGGGGTAAACTGTAGGAACTGTTTGACAATGCAGCCCTCGTTGAGGATGAGGCTCTCAAGTATCATTCTAGTCTGGGGTTTAAGTCGCTTCCAGGCTTGGTGTGGAGATAGAAACTGAATAATACAGATATCATGTCCATACTATTTGTGAACAAAGCAGCCAGCCGGACAACAGTCAGCCTCATCATAAGCAATTCGGAGCCAAAATAAGTTCGTTATTCATCCTTCCGTTTGGTGAATTTTGGAACATGAAATCCAGGACCGTATCGGTGGTTTCCCCCTTTGAGTCAATTGAGTTCTCAAACAAAACGATGACATTTCGATCCTGTTGACTCGCGACCTTCCGAATATTGTCTTCAACAATAGATTTAACCTCCCAAACATCTTTGTGTTTACCCCAGAATCGCCGAAAATATTGTTTGAAATCCTTTCGATTTATTGTAAGTGATTCTAAGCTCGTCATAAACTCATCGAGATGTGTGAAGAGTATTACACACGTCGGAATCGTCCAGTACCGAGGTTTACAGGCTGCTTCAAAGTGTACCAAGTCCACAAACGGTTGGCAGGTATCTGCATCCTTCAGAAACTCAGAACTCATCATTGAAATCGTGTAGAGAATTGTTTTTGGTCCTATCACCACTCTAACATCCTCCCTTTTTTTCCATAGATGGTGGTCTCCGAATCCACCATAATCATAGACTTTGACAATTCTATCTCTCCACATAATGTCCATGTTTTTAGCTCTGCTAAATAGCAGGAGAAGGTCTTCTCTCGTCGGGACATAACTAGAGCTCCAAATGCGGTGTCCAGAGCGAAAATAACTACGGATAGTTAGTGGATTCAACTTGAGTGGGTCACTAAACAGATTGACCTTTCAGCGGCTTTTATTCTCGAGTTTTTGCTTGACCAAGCATCAAAAGTCTTTCGAAATCCTTGGTCCCCCCACGAGTCCTTAGCCAAACAACGAATCGTCTCTGGTGTATGATCATATCGCGACCCTTTATATGACCAAACATCATGCGAAACAAGTGGCCCGTCCTCAAAGTCACCATTATTGTATAACCCATATTTCTCAGCCCAATGAGAGGAGACATTGCATTTTCTCATCTCCCAAACCGTATGCAGAATGCAACGTAGAATATATGATTGGACGGCCTTTCCAAAAATCCAACTTTCATCCGTAGTCATGTTCTGAGAAAGAAATTCAATGGAATCTGTGACGGTGGCTTTTCCACTATTACTACACCCCGATAGAAGAATATAATGGAGAATTTGAAGAGATTGGTATGAACTGGAACAAATTTCACTATTCTTGTGAAAAGTTGATGTATCTGAAGAGTCTTCGTGTAGATTATGAATTGGTAAATAGGTGTGGCCTTCGTCTTGGTCTAGGAAAGGGTTGTCGATAATATCTGGAGATGACTTTTGCTTCTCCGATTGCCACTCAAAAGCTGTGGACCACAATTCATCATTAGATATACTCATCATCGAAAATTTGTCATCTATTGATGTCGGTCTTGAATTTGGTAAGTTGGTATTGCAATCACTAGAAACAGTCTGTCCAAGACACCATTCACTTGTACGCTCTGATGACAATTTTGGTCGCCTCTGCATCGAATCTTGGCTCAAACCCATCTTAGTGCCAGTTCTCTTTTTTAAAAAGGGCAAAGATGTGTTTTCAGACCCGTTGCTCGTCATCTCTGGTGATGTTGTAACATTTCGATACACATTCGTAGTAGCGATTTCCCTATCAAAGTCGAAACCAATATGGGAACCACTCGTCTCTGATCTGAACACTGAGATTGACGCGCGGTCATCCTCGACCTTTTTGAAGACTTTCTGACTTTCAGGTTTCTGTAGAAGCTGATTGCGGTCGAATGAAGTTCGGCTGTTTTGTTTGTTAACACAGTTCAGACAACATATCTTTATTGCAAGGCTTTGCTTGGTATTAGAAATGGCGGGCACATGCCTTTGTACCGCCGTGAGCAATAAATGAAGAGCATTGACCTGACTATTCAAGTAATTGTTGAGTTCTTTGATTTCACTTTCGTTCCAAAGTAATCTAGGTTTTCCTTTCAGTTGCCGGTCAATACCATTTTGATCCAGCCGAGTAATGTGATCTTCCAACATCAACAAAAAAACATGACAACTTTCAAGAGAGCTTTCAAGATTAATTATGAGTTGTTCGTTTTTGTCAACTCCTTGAAGGGTTTTTGCAATCCAGTCCGACACCTCATTTAACGCAGTTTTGATAGTTGTCAATTGTCCAATCAGAAGACTGGCTATAAGGCTGGCGTTTTTATATTTCGACTTGAGTGTGACGAGACTTGTGATGAGACTCGTAATGACTTTTCCGGTACTAAAGACCGAGCCGGTAAGAGTGATGATTGATACTGGATCCATTTTGTGATGAATGTTATTTCGTAAAGAAGAGTAAAAGAAAAACAGATCGAAGAACGAATTCAAAAGACCAACTGGTCGTTAAAAATGCACTGAACGGCTGATGTCTGCGCCTACCCTCGTGCCACGGGTATCAACGTCGCTGTATCACATAGCTGTGGTACCTAGCAGTAATCTGACAAGGTAATAGGCTTCGATTGATACAGTCGGGTCACCATTTCGGAAACTGTGTATCACGAGTTAGGGTAAGGCTATGAGCAAGACCGACTTGCCGATCCTTCAAGAACCCAGTTCACACACTCTCCCATCCAGACCCACCTATCATCATCTAAAAGTTTCTAGAAGATTCAAAGGCAAGATAGATAGACGCATTGTTTCAACCAACGAAAGTATAGTTTGAATAACCATCAAAAGCCGTAAACATTAGGGGATGACAACCTCATTCAAAGCTACAATCCAAATAACTCGGCAAGTCAACTCTATTAGGTAGAGACAACCCAGAAACCATCTAGTTTTCAGATTGTAACCACGCTTGTGGTTGTTGATTATATCGTAAACATCGTATCGACGCGGAACATGGCAGTCGGGTCTCGTGGGTTGCAGTTCATTATTACCGGCCATTAGAGGTATTCATCAATGATTAAAGCAAGCAGCGAGAGAGTCCAAAACCGTCTTGATAAATCGAGTCTTTAGAATTGATCAATAGTATCATGAAACTGAATGTATAAAGAATGTATAAACATATAATATCTTGTGAACGCCATCATGGACAACCCGTGGTATCCCCATAATCCACTGAACGCCTTTGAACAACCTGTACCGAATCTCTTACTCCCTTTATATGACAAGCAGCAATTATACTTCCCCAAAATTCTTCGGTGCTTATAAGACTAGCACTTATATACGATATTAGATATATCCGAACTTGTCTCATATAACGAACCTAAAATGTCTATCCAAAGGCCATACAATTTCCCTTTTTCCCAAAAGGAATTGCTTGATAAGAACATGGTCAACATCTTTGGCTGTCGATACAACACCGGAAACAAAATGTTTAAGATGGTATATTGATCTCGTAACCAATCATAACCTCCGTGTTAGTACCTTCCCAACCCCTGTTTCCAGCAGCTGAGATCATGTATTTGCACGTCGGATCGATATGAAGTGCAGCTATGACACCAGCTCTTGGTGGCCCAGGAACGATGAGGAAAGGTACGGATGAATGTGATTTAGTCTGTGGTTGCTTGAGGTCATACAATCGTAAGATATCGTGTGATGCACTGTTAATCATTAGTTTGACGGATAAAGCAGGAGAGAGAATGATTAATATACCAAATAAGATGTCTCCCATTAGGCATGGCTTTTATAGCACTGACTGCACCACTTCCATTTGGAAATTTAAACGTCCTTTCGGGTTGTTTGAGACCTTTATGTAAACTGAACTCTTCCACTGTTCCATTCCTTCGGCCAGCATAGATGTAGTTTCCATCAGGTGACCAACAAGCAGACATACACCATGGAGGTACTCCTGTTCTGGTCAAAATTCGAGCGATTGGGTTTTGTTGACGTCTATCCCAGACACGAATAGTTCCATTGATAGACGCAGCAAGAAATGTGGAGTCAGATGTTGCATCAGCATCTTGAGTTTCAGGCTCTGCCTTTGCTTCAATAATATCTTCCGAATGCGGTAAACCATTAGATAGATCAGCCTGTGGTTGTTCGGATTGGATTTGAAGGGAAGAAGCAGGTTCTTCCTCAATTGGTAGAGGTGGTGCATCCATCATAGACATATCACCGGAAGAATCTGGTCGTGCTTCTATGTTCATATCCAAGGCTTTCGAGAACAAATCTTCATCATCACCGAAGTTTCCTCCGGATGGAGCTCCCAGTCCATCTGTATCTCCAAATAATGAATCTCCACCCCCGAAAAGAGAATCTGCAGGTGATCCAGGAGCATCCTCATTACCGTCTGTATCTCCGTTCAATCCATTGGTCCCATTCATTCCACCAGAAGCGCCATTCAGCAGTAGCTTTTCCCCAATATTACTAGAGAAGGTTCCGTTTTGAGGGCTTGGTTCGCCAGATTCTTCAGGAACAGGTAGCGTAGAAGCCGGTCTTACTTCTATTGCAGAGATTTGACCACCACTCCCATCAAATGCGCGCTTGACTAATCCAGTATTTAAATCCCAGTCCAGAACCTTTTTGTCCCAACTTCCTGATAAGACAGATCTCTCATCGCGAGCAAGACTGAGAACCGAGACAGCAGATGTATGCTTTTGCAGAGTGGCTATTTTCTTCCCTTCATCGTGTCGCACCGATTGTAAGTTTATACATCCCGATTCAAGTCCAGACAACATCCAAAGAGCCTCAGATTGTACTGCCAATGAATAGACAGGAGACAATGGATTCTCCTCCCCGCCAGGGCCTCTACTTGATTCCTCGTTATCCCAATAGCTCATAAGAACACCAGCTTTAACTACACTATCGACAAATGGATGCCGTTGAGCGACAGTCAGTAATGTTTTACCATTCACTGTGTCGACTCCATTGTATTTCCTTATAAAACAATCCGACCCTCCACTGAACCAGTATCTCATATCAGGTGTTGCCGTAATCGCGTTGATCGATGTACTCTGAGGAGCAGCTATTGTTGGTACAATATCATAGGTAGAAGCGGTTAATGCTTCGGGCCTAACTTCATATCTAAATCTTGGGGATAACGATGAAGCAGAATTGTGTTGCGGCGAGGCTGAAGTCCTTGTTAAAGTCGGATGAGGATGTGAGGTGGGACCCTCGCCATTCATCTGAGTTTCGTTCGAGTTCAATCTCCCGTTCGAATTGTCTAGGTCTCCTCTGTTCTGCGAAGGGGAAAAGTCGTCTTCACCTTCCCCATCCCCATCGCCGTCACCATCATCTTGATCATCATCTCCATTATCGTCATCATTGTCGTCGTCGTCTACTTCTTCATCTCCGTCTCCATCAGCGTCCCCGTCCCCATCCCCGTCTCCATCGCCATCGCCATCCCCATCCCCATCTCCATCTAGTTCGGGGTCTAAGTCATCTGCATCTTCCATCATATCATCTTGTTCAATGTCGGAGCTCGCGTTCGATCCTGGCAAAGCTAAAGTTAGTACTCAATAATGATAGAGTAGATGCTGCATTTACCGACCGTCATCAATGTCTAATGCGAAATCCACCATCTTGAACACCTACAGACCCCTCCTCCACAACACAATCCTCCGGGTTGCGGCAGCAATGAATTCGCGTTAGCGCAAGCTATTCTGCTTGAATTCGATTGTAGGACAACGCGGGGCGCACAAGGATATTCTAAGCAAATACTCGGGAATGAGTTCGGGAAATCCTTTGAATATAGAAAAATAAAGTACGTCACAGATTCTCCAGGCAGTAGAAACAATTCAAACTCTTTTAAAATACAACCGTCGAAGGGCTTTTTGTACAATTGAAGAATCGCTAAGCTATATTGTGACGATACAAATATAATAATTGGCCTTTGAATCATGAATGCGAAGACAGGGTCTTGATAGCTAGTCATGCTAGCGGCCGCATCAGCCAGGTGATACATCACGTGAGAGGTTGCAAACCTCACTGCATCCGCTTTGGAAACATCTTAAATCTTCCTCCAGAGACATCAAGACAGTCCACTGCACAGTGTGGTGGACTGGATTGCGCTTGAAGCAACTATCGGGACACCATTGACTCGAAACATCCTCATCTTGGGAAAAGTGACTACCCTGTAAAATTGAGTGCACTGTCTATTCTACAGGTCTCGAATCCTCAAATGCATTCTCATGATCATGGTTCGAATCAATGCTTGCTTAAGGATATCTCAGAAAGCAGTAAGATATCTAGAATCTAATCCAGGAGACGGGATATACATCAAGATTTTGACGAGGAATAGGTGAGGTGCCATAAGGCTTTCAGTCATACCACGAGTAGGTACCTAGATAGGTTTACTTTGTAGGTCTGGGCGATATCTTTTTCTTACTCATCTTAAAAAGCTCCAGCTCTGTTCGATTAGTTTGTGGAGAGAGTAGATGCTTGAGATATGTGCAATCATCTATCTACTTTGAATATAGAGACGGTCGAAGATTAGCTACATACATAAGCCCGACTATAAACGGATTTGGATAACACGTACCTTTGTATATGACAAGCTACCTGTCTAGTATTCACAAGGTAATGGGCTTATTTAGGTACCTCAATCTCTGTTTGCTTCGAAATTGAATCTCCAATCAAGGTCCTAATATACCTAGTATGCAATATGCAGACTGCAAGCTACCGAGCCGATCCAACGCTTGCAAACGAGTGGAAGTGTACACGCTTCAGAAACTTCTCAGAAGTTCGGACAAGATATTGACCTCTTCTCTTCTTACATTTCCATCTATTTATTCATTACCTAGGTAGGTAACACTTGGAGAGATAATTCGATAGGTATCAAATGAATTCTGAAACCCTTATACTTATCATTTCTCGCCTTATTAAGGTTGCCCACCTCATTCCGATTCTCGCTTGCAAATTTGGATTGTTTTGGAAGGCTCGACAAAGTGAATTCTCCCAAATTTTCTTCTGGGTATTTCGAGAATTCCGATCTCGCTCTCTGGTCCACCTTCAAATCACTTGCATAACAAAATCTTGCATTGTGATCGACTGAGAAGAATTGACTTCAACTCTTTGTAGGATCAATTGTGCGTTTCATGAATGAACGTTTGCGACCAATATTAAGTCTTCAACGCGCCATATCACACACTTTTCGGCGACAATAATTGTCTTCGAAAGCTTAAACACAGGCTTAGACAATCAGATTCTCCCTCAACTACCGGGAAACGGGAAATCAGTTGAAATAAGGTAAGAAAAGTCAGCTCTGTAGGATTGTTTGACACACATTGGCGCACACGATACTGGCTATTATAAGACTTCTCAACGTCTTGCCACACTTACAATTCTCCTCCAAGACCGTAAATCTTTTATTTGCTCAGTCAATCAAAGCATTGTTTCTATCCGCTTGCGTTTGAAGTTGAAGTCTAATAAATTGTCACCTTTGTAGTCTTGCGCAACCTGTTCAGATACCTCTCAACTCTGAAGAGTCTTGGGAGGTCACAAGCCCATCTTTCAAACGACAATCGCCGTGAAATTCGACCTTTCCCAGACCTCATTCAGTTCTTCATCTAGCAATTAAAGATAATGCGAGTCTAAGGTCTACATCGCAGCCATTGAATGACACAGGGAATGACCTGGAACTCACACACCAAGGTCAGTAAAATCACATGCTTGATGAAACCAAATGCTTTAAAAACTTGGACTGACCTGTGGTAGTAGAGAAGAAACTGCGACCATGGTATACAGCAGGGCTTCCGCGAATATTGTATTGCGAGAGCATGTGCAGAAATCTTACGCAAAAATCAACTTCTCCGAATCTTGGAGAAATCTTCCCGAAATTCCCACTAGTGAAGAAATTCTTCAAGACGTATCATGGCAAGACAAAGATGGTCCAGAGCAGCCAATGGATTACCAAAGATTGGCGGAGCCGAAAGAATTCGATCCACGTCTGCCACACAACAATATCAAAGGGGCTTGGGGCTCTAAGGAAGAATACCTCGGTTTTCATTACCAGATTTTACGAGAAGATTCAGTTGCCCCTCTTCGTCAGTCTGTTGCTCAATTCAAGAAAAACAGTGATATGAGTGATACACAAGACACTTCTATCTACACAGATGTATGTGGTCGTGCGAAATAGTAGTGAGCAAAGACGTTGTAATTAATCTTTCGATAGGTCCACCTCGTCGGTCTCCAATTGAGCCATCTCGGTCCAGCATTCAGGATCGAGTTCTCAAGTGACAAAGCTGGCAAAAGAATTCGGTGGGAGCAGTCAAGCCGACTTACACAAGGTAGTCTCCTGTGCTTAAGTCCAACTAGCGATAAGTTTCGTTCCATATGTAAGGTTGGTACTGTCGCAGCTAGGCCCATAGAAGGTGGCTTAGACTGTGACCCTCCACAAGTTGACATCTTCTTTGGAGATGACGAAGACATCATATTGAATCCAACAGAGTGTTAGTCGCACAATACCCTCAACATTCAGTAGAAGCTAATGTCTTTTGTAGCATATATCATGATTCAGCCCCGAGTGGGGTTTTTTGAGGCGTACCGTCATGTGCTTGTAGCACTTCAGAAATTGGCCACTGAACATTCGTACGTGAATGAAGATTGAGGAACTCAAAAGGAATAGGATGCTAATGAGAATAGACCCTATATCCAAAAGTATCTGGTTGAAATGGATCGAGATATCTTGCCACCTGATCATATCAAGGAAAGACCTTGCCTCGACCTTCGTTCGATTGCTCTGTCGAGTGGTGATCATCTTTCGGACCTTACCGATGAAGAAGACGAAAAGCTGTGTCATGTTGATGTTTTGAAAGAGTTTCCAATTCTTCCAAAATCAGGCATGGATGACTCCCAACTCGCGGCTTGTAAGCGTATGCTCACTCAAAGCTTAGCAATTGTTCAGGTGAGATATTCTTTTTCACCGTTTTCAATTTTGCTGGCGCATCGAGCTTTGGACTGATTCAACCCTCGTTGATAGGGTCCACCTGGTACTGGTAAGACGTTTACTTCCGTCCAAGCTCTCAAAGCCATGTTGTGCAACAGGGGCAATGGACCGATCATTGTCGCTGCTCAGACAAATCATGCTCTTGATCAATTACTCACCCACATTGCTGGTTTCGAGGAAAATTTCGTGCGTCTAGGGAGCAGATGTGACAAGAAGAATTCGACAATCCTAGCACGAACATTGTATGAGCTCCGCGAAGAACACAGAAAATCGAAAACTAAGCAGTTCAATGCCGGCGTCAGATCAGCTTCCAAAGCACACAATAACTTGGTTGAATCTATTGAATTAATGCTTTTTCCCATCACTGCTTTTGGGATTTTACCTGCTAGAATTCTTTTGGAGTCAGGCGTTATGAGTCAAGAACATTATGACTCTTTCTTCGAGCCTGGATGGTGCGACTCGGCGGATACGCAAGATGAAAACGTCGACCCTCTTGAATCTTGTACGTATACAAGAGCTCATGCATGTTTACTTAACTCTGCTTACTAGTATATAGGGCTTGGAGCGCAGAAAGTCCGCATGCCGAGAACTCCAGTGATCAACAAGCATCTTGAGATAGAAGATCCTGACCAGGAATTTGATCAATTGCAAGAGAACGAAGTCGAAGTCCAAGCGAATGATGTCATGGATGCTCTGAACGGGACATGGGTTTCACTCAGTCGTTCATATACGGGTAAAAATCTTGGTGCCCGGGCCATTGGTAAGAATTCTCCTAAGAGCATACTCGCCAGAGTTGGAAGTCTTCTCGACATTTCAGACAAGAATCGCGGTCATGTTTATTGCTACTGGGAAAAGCTCTACTATGATCAACTGACCCAAAAACTCAAGGAGAAATTCAAAAGTTACAGAGCATCGATGAACGACTTGAAGATGGCAAAGGTATGTTCACTCTTTTATAACTGATAAAGTTTACTGACAAAAATAGTGGAAACGTGATGCCGATTTTATCGATAACTTGGACACAAGAGTCATTGGTTGTACAACAACTGGTCTATCTAAATATAGAGGACTACTTTCTGCGTTAAATCCAAGTGTACTACTCATCGAAGAAGCGGCAGAAACTTTAGAAGCAAATGTCACGGCAGGTATCATTCCATCTCTTGAGCAAGTGATACTTGTGGGAGATCATCGACAATTGACGGCAAACACTACACTTGACCGCTTCATGTCATACCCATATTACATGTCAGTCTCCTTGTTTGAGAGACTTGTTAACAATGGTATGGCTTATACAATGTTGAACAAACAACGTCGTATGATTCCAGAGATTCGAGAGCTTTTATGTATTGAACCAGATCCGTTCTATGTCGATCTTCATGATCACCAGAACGTACGAGACCGAGTCAATCATCGCCCTCCAGTTCCTGGCATGAATTTTGATTCATACTTCTTCTCACACAAATGGCAAGAACATAGAGACGTCAACATGAGTTGTTATAACGCTCCGGAAGCTGAAATGGTTGCTGGATTCTTCAACTACTTGGTTATCAATGGTGTTAAGCCAGAAAAAATTACCGTATTAACAGTAGGGACTGATCCTGGAATTCTCACACTTCGTGGCTAATAGATTCATAGTACTATAACGGCCAACGGAAATTACTTCTGAAAGAGCTTAGTCAACGTGTCACAAGCGTTGCGACACCATACTTCAAGGTCTATACCGTTGATGCGTATCAAGGCGAGGAAAATGAAGTTATCTTGCTATCATTAGTGAGAGGCAATCCTCATAGTTCGGTAGGATTTTTGCGAAGTAAGAATCGTGTGGTTGTTGCTTTGTCTCGTGCACAACGTGGTCTTTACATCTTTGGGAATGCAATTACTATTGCTGGGCAAGAGGCTGACAATGGTTCTCGAGATAAGCTTTGGATGCCAATTCTTTTGCATTTATTGGACGAGCAGAGATTTGGCTCTAAGCTGCAGCTTTTGTGCTCCAAGCATGAGAATTACTCTTATGTCTCAGAACCTGAACATTGGGAAGATCTAAGTGGTGGTTGTCACGAGTTTTGTGGTGGCATGTTGCCGTGTGGCCATTTATGTCCTTATAAGTGCCATCCAACTCCTCATGATCAAGTTCTCTGTAAAGAACCTTGTGAAAAGGTGCTTGACTGTGGTCATGGTTGCAGTAATAATTGTGGTCAACCTTGTCGATGCGAAGAATGTCGTACATTTGATCGCATGCAGGCTCTTCAAATAGCATCTTCACCCAAGAAAGTTACTGCCGAAAATGAGATGGGAACCAATGCAGTGAACACTACTCCTTCCAAGCAGAAAGAACGCTCTCCACAAAAGTCCTGGAAATTGGATCAGCAAATTGGGCAGAACAATTCATACACACAGCTCTCATCTGTTCAATCGGGTGGTCAAAATTCGCTTTACACATTTGCATCCTCTCCCACCAAGAGAGATTTGTCACCAGAAAAGGGTCGTCAACTTTGGGATACTTGGGACCCAGTTCGTTCTGATGAATACATTGATCAAGAGCGTCTTGAGCGAGAGAAGCTTGCAGATGAAAAGAAGCCAGATTCTGGGGATTTGGTCTTTGAAGAAACTCATAAACCAGTTCGATTTGAGAATGGAAAGAGAATCGTTGGTCCCAAAATCCAGAATGTTATTCCTCGAGTGGTAAGCAGCAATGAAATCACTCGTAGCGAAAACCAAAGTCCAAGAAGCAGTTATGAGGGGTTTCGAAACTTTGATGAGATTTTCCCCAGCAATCGCGAAATCAATGGAGGTAGTAACTGCATTGCTTACAGCAATAATGGAATTCTTCCAAATGGCAACGGTGGTTTGGTCTCTTCCATCAAGAATAGTATTCCTAGCCGAACTAGCGGGGTTCACACAAACGGAGTTACTCACGGTAGCAACGATCTTCTTCTTAATGGTGCTTTCAGCAACGAGGTCGATTTTAGCAACGGCGAAACCACTCCCAACAGTGACGAGGCTGCTACTGCTCCAGGTTCCAAGGATGAGATGCTCAAATTCAGCAACGATGATTTTGATTTTCTAGAAGGTCTTTAATTTTTCGAGGTAGTGGTATCGAAAGATGGATCATTGCATATTGTCGTTTTTGTTTCAGTTGGTCTGGGGAGTGCTCTTCACTTTTCTAGAATGTTCCTGCCTCGCGAAAGTCGGCATTCAAGTTTTAAGAATACTCATGATGACTCTGGGGTAATAAATCTGGAAATGACATGGAGTTGCTTGAGATTTGTTTTTACGGTTGTTTTTATGGTTGTTTTTATGGTTGTTTATTCTGGCTTTTATGTGTACACTAGAATTAGAATACTAGGTCGCTAGAGAGCAAAATGGAATTCATTTTGAAGAATTATTGGGCTTGCCATCTTCTTATTGGGCGGAAAGTGATGTGCTTTGTGAAGCCTACATGATATTGTGATGTTTGTGTCTAAGGGCATTATTGCGATACTTTCATCGCTGTCATAGCATGTCCTAATGCTTCTCATTTCATTTCATATAACGTCCATCACATCAAAATCAATTTCCATACTGACAGACTCAAAGTCATGAATTATCATCTCATTTCATTTCATATAATCTCATAGCGCATCTCATCATACATCATACATCATACCAAATCCATATTCCCCAAGAACAAGAAAAAAGGATCAAGAAATCAACCTCCAAACCTCACCCTGATTCCGAATCCAAAAATAACATAAATGATATCATGACCCTTGTCACCTCTATCACACATCCATCCATCCACAACCCTAATGCTTATGCAACTTCTCCTTAATCTTCTCCTTCAAATGCGTCAACTTTCCCTCTTTCTTTCCCTCCCCATGTTCATGTTCATGTTCATGGTCATGGTCATGGTCATGGTCATGGTCATGGTCATGGTCATGGTCATGGTCATGGTCATGGTCATGGTCATGGTCCTCTTCACTACCCCCCGCACTTACACTCTCCTCCTTCCCCAATAATCGATCTGCTTCCCTCTCAGCCCCAGGCCTCGTCGCATCGAAATTTCCCTCCTCGGCTACTAACCCCGAACTCTTGATTTGTGTTTCTCCGGTGCCTGTGTTTTCGGACGCGGGGGTTTCCGGTGCCGAAGATGATGGGTTTGATGAGGATGGGTTTGATGATGATGATGGGTTTGCGCCGAGCGGTTGGAGATCGGTAGGGATGTCTTGGGCGTTGGCTGTGCTGCTTGGTTTGTCGGTTGCGGTTGCGGTTGCGGTTGCGCTTAATGTTGAGGTTTCGATGGGTTTACCGGTGGGGTTTGGTGGTTCGGTTGTGCTTGTGGTTGTGGTGGTTGAGGACGGGAGATTCGGATTGATGTGTTCGGAGATTAAAGGTTTTTCAGAAGTGGGTTTGATGGAAGTGGAGGTGGAGGTGGAGATGGTAGGATCAGAGGAATCGGAGGAAAGTGGCGCAATGTGTGTTTCGGCGAGCGTGCGGGATACGGAGTCGGGGGTTGGAGAGACGGTGGAGGTAGAGGTAGAGGAGGATTCGAGAGGTTTGGCGGCGAGGCCCGGGGGAGAGAGAGTCGTGGTGTCGGTGGGTGTGAAAGTGGATGTGGTACCGTCGGTGGTGGAGGAAAGGGTTTTTTGTGTGGTTGTGGAATCTGGTGGTGTGTTAGTTGGTGGATTGATTTGTATGTTTGTTACTATCGTTCATTCCATCTTCTCGCGTTTTCCCTCACAATACATCTCATCCTCATCGCACCCAACCCTCAAGAATCAAAACCAAAACCAAAAACAAATAAGCAATCAAAATAAAATAAAAACATACCCGCATTCCCCAAATCATACGGCTCCCCCTTCTTCGTATCGCCCAACTCTCCACTAAGCGGTTCCGTTCCCTTCGTCTCTGGCACTACCGTTGCATTTGCCGCATCTGTCGTTTCTTGAGGCTCGCCCCAGATAACCTTTGACGCAGCAGCCGCGATGTTATTTACTGTTTCCATGTTTGCGTTTGCGTTTGAGGTATGATTGTATGTAGAGTGTTATTTTTAAGTATTGTATGTATGTATGTATGTACCTGTAGGTAGATAGATGTTTTTGTATCCCGAGAAAGAAACAAACAAGCAAAGCGAAGTAATAAAACCAATCTCTCCAATATCAAGATCGGTGGGTATGCGTTCACTAATATAACCTTCCAAACGGAATATAATCAAGGAACAAGAAAAAAGAAAAAAGAGCCTTCCCACCCTTTATCCAAAATTCACCCCTCGCACCCCTCCAAGCCCATCCAATCCGCATCCTCGAAAATCACTCCCAAGAAAAAAACCTGAACTCACACCCGTATTCGTACTAAACCACATGTCCAATCCCATTCCATTGTACGACTACTTCTCACAGCGCAAAAACTGACGTAGTGTCCAGAATCCCAAGTCCTCTCAGCACGCCATTGGCCCAATCTATGCAAAACAAAGAAATGCACCTTGTTCTTCCTTTCTTACCACTCTCGAGCCACTTAACTTACCTGCTTTCCAGGAAAAATCCCACTCTATTAATGACCAGCCACAAAATCCAAATAAATCAATTGTGAGACGCATCAACCACAGCAGATAGACCAATTAGATCAATATCAAAAAATGTAGATCCCAGATTTCACAAAATGCAAATCCTGTGGTTCCAGACCTTGATATCGGGAAAGCAAGGTTGTTGATGACGTTCATAAGTCCACTTATATGTACCCCGGATTTTTATCGACGTCATATCACGTGCTGTGATGCAGGTTTAGGCCAGTGTGCCAGTTGGTTGAGTGTATCGTGGTTTACTGTCTGGGTAACCTCATTTCCAACAAATTGGGGATGGTGCGTTTAGTTTAATTTAGATGGCGAGGATGGAGTATTAGAGTCTAGATGCTTCGAAATTCCCTAGGCAGTTTCGATCTAGATGTTCAGGATCTTTGGGTCTGACAGATTAGGAAAACTCTTGAGCTTAACATGTCACTGTCTATACCCCGAACTCTGGTTTTGGATTTTATTTGTATAATGAAAAGTATGCAATAACTCGTAAACTCATACCATAACCCCATAATAAACCATCAATGACTCTACCCATCTTCCATATACACCACCTTCTGCCTTTACCATGAATATGATCCAATCCCCATGATACAATGAAACACGGAACATTAATATGTGATTTCACAGCTCCCCGAATACATCAAGGAGCTTTTGAAGTCTCAGCAGGAGTGTCCGTCTCTGCAGCCTCTGTGCCATCGCCTTCAGGTTTAACACCTCCCAACGGTTTTGCAGGATCATAGCCCACACTTTTCACAATCCCCAAGCCTTTCGTCCTCCCCTCCCTAAATAACAGCCTGTCGCCTGGAGCCAAGTATTCTGGTCTTTGTACAAATCGAAATGCGACCGTTGCTCTATCACCAGTTCGAATATAACTTCGATCAATATCAATAATAGCGCACGTTTGACTGACTGGTCCAACGTGTAACATTGCCTGATATTTTGTTTTGATAGTAGTAGCATGAGAAAGAATCAAAACTTCAGCAACAAATTCTCGGTAAACTTTAGGGGCATTTTGTTCGAGTTTTGGAAGTACCACCATTCCTTTTCTAACATCTTTTCTTCGAACACGTTTCAATGCGAACGAAGCTGATTGACCAGCAGATGTAGCCGGAACTGGTATTCTTTTACGTTCGATTGAACGAATGGTTGTAGTTGTGAATTGACCAAGAGAGTCAGGCCCAACAAGTACAGTGTCACCTGCGTGGACAACGCCAGACTTTACAATCCCTGATACTACAGTTCCTACGAATGGAACGGAGAAAGTATCGTTAATATGGAATTCGAAAGGTGCCTCGGCATCATAATGGCCATGATGAGGTAGAATATTGAGGAAAGCTCGAACGAGATCTAAAGATTCTCCAGTAACATTGGATACTTGGAAAATTGGACAAATTCGTTTGCTGACAAATTGAGTGGCAGTATTGATACATTCTTCTCGATTCTTGATGAAGATTGGTATTTTCCTGGCCCCAGGACTTTTCAATATGCCGGTAATTTGCTTAATGGTTTGTTCCAAAATTTGAGGAGGACAAATATCGATTTTAGTAATGACAACCATAACTGGTACATTTAACGCGAGAGCGATACCAAGATGTTCTTTACTCATACCGATGAGTCCATTATTTGCAGCTACCATTAGTAAACAGTAATTTGGAGACGAAGATAACAGCCCAAACACGGTAGTTCGTAGATACCGTTCATGACCCGCCAGATCGGTAAAGGAGATAACTTTTGCGGATCGTTTTCCAATTTCTTCCCATGATAGTTTCCTACCTGGAACATCAGATGCGACAACTTTTCCCATGGTATCGAAACCCATGATTTCCATACCAACAGAACTAGTTCTTCCACTCTCTATTTCGTGCTTGTGGCGAAAGAGATTGACTCTTGCTTTTCCTCTTCCATCATCCAACCCACCTTTCACCAATACACCCAGCATGGTACTTTTCCCCGCGTCGACGTTTCCCACCACAGCAATTCTTGTCTCGATGACTTCCTCCACACTCGCAGGATGTTGTCGTACTAAAACTTTCCCTGTACAATCTTTCTCTTTTGACTCTCCAGTTTCACCCTCTACCTCGCCACCCACTCCATTCGTTAATAGTAATTGACAATCACTGTTCAATCTCCCAGCCGCTTCCTTTAGTCTTTTCAAGGCAACATCCCATTCCTCTTTATTGAATCCCATTGCATCACCATTGTTCTCAAATCCTATTTCAAAAATAGTCTCTCCATGTCCCTCTTCCAGTCGCAACTCCAGAACATTCTTTAGGAGCGTTAATTGATCTTCGTCGGTCGACAGCAGTAATTCTTTTATTCGTACTTGGGGGCTTGTATCTGCTATATCGAGAGAGTTTAAGATATCTGTAAGTTCGGCATGATCTTCTACGGTAGTGACTGATATTGCGGTGGTTGAGGGACCACCGGTTGTTGAACTGGAAGTGGAATACGAGGGATACCGAAGTGCTTGTTGCTTTTCAACGTATTCGGCGAACTCGCTCAGGGCCTATTGTCTGTTAGGAATATGAAATAAAGTCTGCCAAAGGGTATCAATACAGTTTCGCCTTTCCGCCGCTCATGTGGAAGCTGTTTGCCTTTTGAAGTCATGTTTCCGTTTGTCCACCTTCCAAGAAAGAGTTGTGGCAATAATTTAATTTATTTGCAGTATTTTCGTAGGATCCCAAAAGACTGCTATGAAGTATGTACCTAGGCAATATAAAATAATCTGAAATAATAGTGAATTGAATGCAAAAGAGTTATAAATGGAAACCAGTAGTTCTTAAGTGTACAGTGGAGGTGACTGTTCGGTGTGTAAAGTCTAAGTGAAGCTTTATCGATAAGGATCTTGTGATGAATGAATCATAGACCTTTGAGTCATTGCCTGGAGGCTGAGTTCCTACATCTTTTCTGACTGAAAGATATCTATAAATGATCATTCTATCTAACTTAACTTGTAAAACATAAACACATCTGCAAACTAACATCTACAATTGTTGCGGGATACCGTCAATTTTATCTGTACATAGGTATACACGCTGAACATAGTACAAGCGACGCATGAGGCTCAAGAACCGAACCCCACAACAGCTCCTCCTGTCCATGTCAACCAGAAGTATAAGTATGGATACGAGTAGATTGGAAAAGGTAACATGTTGATATTTTAGCAAGGACGTGACAACATCTAGATCTAGATATCCATCCCAAGCTTCCTCTTTTCAAAGTGAGCGTACGTGTTTAATTTGGTGTGATTAAATGAAGTAGTCACTGGTATGCGTTAACTTGAGCTCAAGGTTGTGATGAGAATGTCGATGGACATAATATAGAATCTGTTCTCATAATGGCTGACACAGGAAACTTCATCATTCAAGAAGCATTCTCACAAAAAGCTCATGGTAATTGCACTTTGGGGTAGTATGTAGTAGAATCAACCACGAGCTATAATTTCAGCTCTGGCCCCTCCTTCGAAATTGTTTAGGAATTTATCTACGCCCAGTCGCTTATGGCTTTCTCCTTGACGAACCTGCTTGCAATGAACATCTGCAAATGAATGACAAGGAAACAAAGAGTCGGAGCAATCCTGCTGCGCAACTGAATTTGATCAGGACCAAGCGCGTTAAGGTATATCTCATTCGTACATTCTCGAATAGAAACATTTTGTGAGAATTGATGCAACTATGCATTGACAGAATGGATCCAGGCGTAACAATTCACAGCATCCCATACCTTCCAAAACATTCAACCCAGGAGCTCTGTAAAAGTCAGAGCAGCCAAACAATCGCGGACATGCTAGTATACGCCAGATTTCAATCGTGTACCCACGGCACTACACAACCTCACGTATGTCTGAACCCGGGTATTTTGGCTGGAATTGTTACATATATTATTTGTTCTTCCGTCTCGCGCCTATCTATCCTTCCCGGCCTTTGTGGTCCTCGAATTTTGGTATTTGCGGCCAGATCGTGGTGGAATTTACCCCTTTTTGCATGCAGGATCGCTCTCTCATCCTCCAACCTTCGTGGTCTCTCTTTCCTAGAAAGATTTCTCGTTTTCGTCGTGTAATGGCATGTCGGTATTTGATTTTATGAGGATCTGGGCGAGATAAGTATAACACTATCGCCTATTGAAAGAATGTCAGATACAGCGAAGACCAAATGAGAGTCCAAGAACACTTGCCTCTAACAAATAACATCTCGGATTTCTTGACAACCGTCTGCGAAAACATATTAGTCGAAAGCATATGCCAAGTAGGATACGGACCAACCTTTACGATCTCCTCTCCATCATCTTCTTCGCTCTCTTCCACAACATAAATTGTCTCTACCACATCCCCTAATACTAAATTGCAATGACTATCATAAGCCTACCCATTATCAGTACAAGCACCGCAAAGTCCTGCAGGGGTATATCCCACATGTAGCCTTCCTTTCAATTCTCTGTCTCCCCTCAATTTCACATAAACAACCTCGTCGAGACAAAGTCGCACCAAATCAAGAGGTTCCGCTGGTGCAGATGTACCATCATCAATATCTGCCATATTTCTTTCGTTTTATGCCGACGAACTTTTGTTGTTGTGAATGATCACCAGGATTGACGTACTGGATTTACCTCTGAATCGCATAAAGGTTGTTGCTTTAGACGGCGGGATTTGCCGCGCTCACTAAAAATTTCAAATAATCAAGCGAAATATACCAAACCCACCACTTTCAAACCACCACTTTTAACTTCCCGCCATTGACAACACCAAGTGGACCCTTTCAACTTTCCCCAGGTTTCCCCAGATTACAATTCAATTGATCTCATCAATTACATGGTCAATGCGAGAAGAGAATAGAAAGGGTGGAAGAATGATGATTTTTAAAATCACATCCAATGGGGTCTTTCTTGCGCGGTTTTGTGACGCGCAAGTCCACAATTGCTACATCTCTTCACATGCCACCCTCTACAAAATCCGATAGAAAATACAATGGGAGAAGATGGTTATACGAATCGACAGGACCAAGAAATAGTCCCAGTAATTTTGTGCGAAAAGAAAGTGGAAATGAAGAGGCAACGAACATCGAGCAATTCGAGGAAGGAGATGAGATCATCAACGATGGATCGCAGGCAGCAAAACAAGCATATTGGAGACGATACGAGATAAGGAATAAATTACGAAATGTGAAGACATTCTTCAAAACACCGGAATGGATGAAGTCACCTTGGAGTAAAGAGGAAAATTTAAAGGAGTGGTGGGTTGGAAAGCATGCAACCGAAAAATCTCAAAGTCAAGAAGCATATGGAGATATTTACCCACTTGAAATTCCGACTCCCGGAGAACAAAATGAAGCATCTGATGAGTCTGATCTGGTTTCTGTCATTCGAAAAGTTGGTGTGGGATTGCCCGTTAACCAGGCTCAACGAAGAATGCTCCTCAAAGAAGCTAAAATGGTTTCTGAATACAAGAATGTGCTCAGAGCACTTCAGTTGCGAGATCCTCATGAACTTCTCAAAGTACTAGTAAAACTTTCCAAAGTGGATAATTTTGGTGTGAATTATTCGCCTTTATTGGATATTCCTCCGAATACATTTTCCGAAATTCTTAGATTACTAGATCCCAAACATTTTTTCGGAAGATACAAGGCATTGTTACAAGACTTCAAGCATAAAGATTTATTGGAAATGAGAACGGATACTCTCGATTATGACGGAACTCATCGTGCCTACACTGTCTATCTTTGGCATTTGCGCCGAATCATTATGAAACGACAAATACAGCATCCAATTCTTCTATCTGAATACAAAATGCTCCTCAAAGCTGCAAAGTTCACGGGACATCAGGAAGTTGCGGAATTGACATGGAAGTCTCTGATTTCCAACCAATTTCAAGTGATGGAAAATAGAAAGATTTTACCAGATGTGGAATGTTTCAATTATTACATGGCTACCATGTGTTGGTCCGATGTTCTTAGCCCTTACCATTCTGAAAGACTAAGAGTCGTGTCTCACCATAAGGATCTCCGCCAATGGGACAGCAGACCTTATCAACTCAATAGACACCGAATCGGATCTAACAATGGAATTAGACTTACGGTCAATACATTATTCAAAGAAATGGGGAAGGCGGGTCTGATGGGGAATGAGGAGACATTTTGCTTGTTGATGATATCGGCAAGTAGAGAGGGAGACCTTGAGACTGCTAAAACAATTCTCAAGCGAGTTTGGAACATTGATATCGAATTGAAGAACGGGGAGAATTCGAAGCTCAATACTCGTCTTCCAGACTCTCCATTGTATCCATCACGAAGATTACTTCGTACGATCATCCATATGTTTTGTATCAATAACGATTTACCAATGGCTATACATGTAATGGATCAAGTATCACGAAAGTACTCCATTGATATTCCGAAGCGGGCTTGGCAAGACTTATTGGAATGGACTGCAGTTTTTGCTAGAAGACGGGGAAGTGCCGCTCAACGCGAGTTAGGATTTGACGAAGGGGTATTGCCCCCGTCTAGCATGAACGAAGTTTGGAACAATATGATTCTGCATTATAACGTCGAACCCAATCTTTCAATGTACAACATCTACATTCGCCACCTTCTCTATAATCGACAAATCGGAGCTGCTCAAATTCAAATCGCAACGGCTCGTCAACTACACAATAGTTTGGCCAAAAGAGTAGATCGGTACAGGATCCTATACGAAAGTAGTTTAAAACGAAGAAAGTCCGACTCGGCAATCACACAAATTCGTCAAAGGGACTTCATATTCTACCGTTTCAAATTGAGGGTTAGCAGGATGTATATGCGACAATGGGTCAATTATCTCATCTATCGGCCATCTGAATTCTTGTCTAAAGACCACGCAAACTGGGCATTTCAGAAGGTTCCAGACATAGTCAATAACTATAAAACATTTTTGCGAGGAGAGTTGACTTATCAAACATATACAGGTCATGTACGTTTAGATACTGGGAAATCTGAAGATACAAAATTGAGGATATGGAGAAGAGTTTATGGAGATACTAGGTCAAAGAGGAGACGACAAAAAAATTCTTTGGCGAGACTTCTCAATAGAAAAAAAGAATACCGATATAATCGGGACATAAAGGCCGTTGGTGGGCCAGTTCAATTAGCAGCCAAAGTCGTGCAGGAGCATAGATTTTAAAATTAAATAGGTTACCACGATACTCTATAAATTCATCTCGTTTCATCTAGTTCCATCACTTTAGACACACCCGCGGGCCAGATCTATCTTCGAATTCACTCTCAACACGAAAAACAGAGTTACAAGATGAGAGAATTTTTGAAACTTTGTGCCACAATAAGCAACCCTATATCCCTATATGCAGGTGATGTGATTAGAATTCACGATGCATGAATGGGGGTCATAGTCACACTAGTGTATGACTCAAACTTTCAAGATTCCTCAGAAAAGTATTTCTATCTTCTCTCAATCATCGTCTTGGTCATTTATCACAATCAACATACTTGACATTCTCACAAATCTCCCTTGAATCTTCCATAACGATTCTTTTCTTCGTCTCAACATAGTACTCCAATTCTTCAAACATCATACACAATGTCGGAAACCATCATTCCTCAAGAAATACTCTACACCTATTT